GTTAAAAGTATGGGTTGAGAAAACTCCACTGCTACAGAGTCTGTTGTTGGCAGGTCCAAATAGAGTCTCAGTGACTTTCAGAGTGAGAAAGATGTTTTTTTTTTTTTTTAAAAACTGGATCCCGATATTGAAATAAGTTTAGCAGAACCCCCTGCATCAGTCTGATTTGGAGTGCTGAAGTGCATCAGTATGTGGCAGAAGAGCAGTGCCTCCAAAAAATGAGTGGGCCTGTCATCCCCTCAGTCTGAATGGGTGCGATGCTTGTGGTGTGGAGCAAATCATCATCAATCCTGGCCAGCATCTGAGAACCACAGCAGTGTTGACACTGGCACTGAGGTGAGGAGAAGTGAAACCAAAATCCAGGGTTTCTCAATACAGCAAACACACGTTCACAGTCTGAGTTAAGAGGCTATTGTGACCAAAAACAGCACTTACTCTATGCTGCGGGCAGCGGGGTGGTGGGGTGAAAGAGGGGGCTGGTTTTTAAACAGTGGACCTGGGTTCAAACCTGCATATGTGGCTCAACTGTCCTTGAGCAGGACACTCAGAGGCATAATTCATTTCAGATTCTGCACCGAGGGAGGGGCATGTTGTTTATCAAACAAGCACACCAACACTGCACTGCAATTTGTCGACCAACATGTTACCAGCAAGTTCTTCTCCTTTATGTATATGCATTTAAAGCAATAGTTCAACACTTTGAGTAATATGTCTATTCCCCTTCTGGCTGAGAATTAGATAAGAGACTGATATTCTCTAGTCTCTGCATGTTGAATATAAAGCTACAGCCAGCAGCCGGTCAGCAAAGCTTAATGTAAAGATGAAAACAGCTAGCCTAGCTCTGTCCTAAGGTAACACCATCTACCAGCACCTTTAAAGATTACTGATTAACACTTTAAAACAAGTTATTTTTAAACAAATTGTATTGTATGGGTGTGTGACTAGTTGAGCTTTAGAGGTGTTATTAGGCAGATTTCTATTCCTACCGTCAAACAGAGTAAGCTTAGCTGTTTACTCCTCTCTCTGGTCTTTGTGCTAAGCTAAGCTAACTGGCTGCTGGCTATAGCTTACAGACATGAGAGTGGTATTGATCTTCTCATCTTATTTTTTGCCAAGAAAGTGAAAAATTTCACAGTCACATATAAAGTGGGATTACCGAAACATAGAGAGAAATACTACATCTAAGGTTAATTGCATATTCCTGTGGATTTACTTAGGTACCAGCGACTTGCAAAAGTCGGTTTTGTGTGGAAAATTCTCAGTCTATAAAAAAGCCGGTGATTAAGAGGTGCAGGTATATTAAGAAGGCTGTGGTTGGGAAGCTAAAATCCAATTACCTTGTATTTTACAGAGGGACAGTGGATAAAAAGTGAAGGCAAAGAAGACTGCAGGGAGTTTGCAATGAATATTAAAAAAAGGCAGTAATACATGACTATAATATCTGGAAATAACTGATATTGTCGCATCAGTGAGCGGCAGTGAGTTGTGTCTCTGTGCTCATTAAACTTGAAGCAGCTAATGCACTATAACAAATGTGCTATACTGATATGACATTTTCTTTGCAGTGACTTGTATTTTCACCACCCAAAATGCAAGGCATGCAGATGCCAATGTCAGCTGGTTGATCAGTCAGTTGATTGGTTTGCTTGTCGGTCTGGATCTTGAGAGGGATAACGCAAGATATAGCTGAGAGCAAAATGTTTGCAATATATTCGAGAAATAATTATCTCTTTTAAGATCTTAATTGCATCTTAAGTAAATGCCGTGACATGTTGTTACTTCATTAAGGAGGATTTCTGGATGCTTTGCTGATGTTTACCAGATAAAACAGCATCTTTTGATCCTCCTTTACTTGCAGAACAGAACAAAAGAAGAAGCAGTCCCTGGCAATGATCGTGTAATTACTTGCTGTCTTAATAAATCATGTGTTAATTACACATGACATTGTAAGTACAAGCGTTTCACAACAGCTGCGTTAGAACAGAAAAGAGATTACAGTACACACGTATTTTAGAGCGAGTTTGAGCAAGTTTCAAGATCAACTTAGTGTGACACCTTCAAGTCATTACACATTTTGGAAACGGCTTTCTTAAACTAATTTGTCAATCAACCCCTGCACTGCTGTGGGTGATACACACACACACACACAACACAAAATGTAGAAAATACACACACAAGTTTCTGTGTTTGTACTGTATTACAGTTAAACACACCTAATTATAGTATCATTCTGAGTCATCAAGTTACACACAAACAAGATCTCTACTGTCAAATCAATTACAAACTTACAATAAAATCCTTATTGTATTACATAGATGTAACTATACATGTCCATATAAACTTGTATATGGACACAAAAATGCAATCATTAACAAACCAGTGCTTTCAAGCATGTGATTGTTGGCTCTACTGGTTTCAGTTGACATATGACAGTGAAACACTGTTCAAATAAGCTCTGTTGGTGTTTGAAGGAAAATAAAAGGATCAGCGGAGCGCATCTTCCATCAAATATGATCGAACATCCATTTTTCAAAAAGGGGAAAACGCTGAAGCAAAATGACAGTTGTAAAGATAAGCAAGGAGCAGAAAGGTTAAACGAAAACGACGACAGAAAAAACAGGCCAGAGAGAATCTGTTCTTTGTTAAACCTGTCTCTCCTTCATTCTCCAGTACAGAGTGGACAGGAAGAGAGAGCAGAAAGGCACAGCGGAGGGAGAAAAAAAAAAAAAAAAAACCCAGCTATTTTTGTAATTGCTTTTTTTTGCCTGTGCTGAAAGAAAAGTGGTGGGGAAAGTTTTGAGAAATTTAAACAGCCTTGACAGCCAGGGTGTAGTGGTATTAATCTTTTCAAACAGAGAGAAAACCCTTCTATTATAAACACAGACAGAAACTCTGGGATCAGCGGCCATGTCGCATAGTCTGTTTATCGCTGCTGTCGGATTAAACACTTCTATATCCAGAAAGTCAACATTTTCAGAAAATGTAGAAGCCGCTGGTTTTCAGAAACCGTACAGGAAATTATGAAAAAAATGAAATTAAAACAGTTATAACTGATCCTTTGGTCAGTTGGGAGCAGCAGAAACAAGCTGCAAAGACAACACTGACATATTGCCACCTTTTAATTTGATGTTTCTTATTTAGACATCCAGCAGACACAAACCAATACTAGCACTGATTTGGGGTCCTGATTCTGGCCCCCTGATGAATGTAAGTCCAGCATTTGCTCTCTTCTAGCTCTGTTTTTGGTCTCTATGAACTCCTGAGGGAAATATGTGGCTCTTTAGCTGCAAAATGCTCCACTATGATCACCAGCTAGTTGCTAACTTTGTCTGTCTATTGTTTGGTGCTGGAGGCAGCATACACTGGGGTTTTTTTTTTCCAGAACAACTACCTGCTGCTGCTGAAAACCAAAAACCAAAACAATGAGCTGAAAGACGCTGAAGCTCCATAGAGCTGAGGGGAAATGCAGAGTTGAGAATAATTCTCTGTGGGTTGGACAATACAAGCATTAAGTTTCACATTACTCACAGTCATTTGAGACATCATTATTGTGAACACATTGATTATAGTCACTTAAACAATGCTCACAATGCAAAATACCAACTCAAGAAAGCTTGTATATGTAGGCCATGTGTCATGCCTTACCCTCCACCAACATGCAAGCAATACGTCATTGAAGAACTATGATAAAACTAATATGACAATATAAGTATTTAAGAGGAAAATCCATTCTCAGTAAACATGTTTTTTATATCATTCTCACTATATTTTAATTAATCCCTGAACTATGTCTTTGGTTTCCAACTTTTTCATTAATTTTCTGTGATCAATTTTTTCCTCATTCAAATGCCTCTAAGAAAGAACGAAAGGAAAGAAAGAACTAATAAAAGTCATTCACAGTTCAGTTTCAATCCCACCTATCTAACATGCATCTAAATAGAACCCATTGATTGTAAAAAAAAATAAAGGCAAAAAGAAAAGAGAATATAATCGCATCAAGGACACTTTTAGCCTCCACTGTCATAGCGCTGGCAGTTTGCACGCCGGCCTCAGTGTGAGGACGGTTAGGGTTAGGAGTTATTAACTGCCTCTGATCTGAGCTTACAGCTAAACCTCCCGTCGGCTCACACTGCTAATCACACCTGAATGCTGCCGACCCCGCAGAACCCGGGAATCAAAGAACAACATGCAACCCGGAGTGTTAATGGTACCATCCTCCTCCCACTCTGCTAACACTGTTTTTCTTTCACTCCTTTCACCCTCCCGCCGTCTCCATCGTGCTCTTTTTTTTTTCCTGCAAATGAAAGAAGTGTGGCAGCGCACAGAGAGAGAGAGAGAGAGAGAGATGGAGAGAGAGAGAGAAAGAGAGAAAGAGAGATGGAGAAAGTCGGGGGTCTGATTTTGGCAGGCGAGACTTTTTCCCCTCACCCTATGTTTGTTCTGGCTCTATGAAAACATCTCCAAAGAGGGGAGGTGAGGGAGGGAGGAGGAAGATGGAGGGAGGAGAACGTAGAGGAGGAGCATGGGCACTATTTAGAGGCGGTGCACTAATGTTTCTTATTTAGTAACAACGACTGGCAAACTGACAAACTTTGGATTGGAAATTAATTTGCATCCGAGATGTCGACGCAAAACTCTAGAACTTAAGCCAAACAAAAAAAGGGATGTGGTATTTGACTTAAAGGAACAGTGTTTTGCCTAACAGTACGGCACACACACACACACACACACACACACACACACACACACACACACACACACACAGACACACACCCATAAAACCAGAATGTGACTTTTACTCTTTGTTTTTTTTGTATGGACTAAACAAATAAGCTACATTGTGTTAATTAGTGAGCTTCAGAAGTGCCGGTGGATGGATTTCCTTGCCATTAGACAGAGCCAGACTAGCTGCTTCCCACTGTCTGTGGCGTCGATCAGGACAGCAACAGATAGACCCTGCACAGCCATTTAATTATTTGGCCTCTATATTGAAAGGACACGGTCTCAACTACGTGAAACACTAATCACAGGTTTGACATTAAAATTCCGCTGTGTCATTTTAACACCAGAGACCTGTCTTGACCTGACATTTAATTTGTAATATGCTTGTAACGTGACTCAGACTTGCCTTCGAGGACTTGACACTTGCTCTGACAGATGTGAGACCTGACTTATAAACTTGTCTTGAATGACTTGAACCTGGACGCGCTTTCAAAGACAGCACTGGAAGGAAGGACTTCTAAAAATATCTGCGCTTAAGGAAAAGTTCATGCTTCAAACTTTCCACCATCTCTTCCCTCTTCCTCTGTTCATCTCAGACCATCCTCACGTCTCCTCCTTACTGTATTTCTGATCTGCTGTACTTCTCTGTTCTGGTCTCAGGTAGTTATATCGGACACAAGCTACCTGGATTTCAGTTGAAACATCGAGGCTGTCAGCTTTGAGTTTGCCTGTGGCTACTCTCAAAAACCCAACCCTGAGGATATATATACGAACACACACACACTGTAATGTCCCGCACACCACAGAGTGTATACTTAAGGCCAACGTGGAGGGGATGGAAATCAGAGCACAGACCGAAGCAAAGACAACACAGAGGATATGAAGTTCATGTTATGTTCAGGTTCAACAAGGTGGGTGGCGAGAAATTTTTCCCCAAATTTGCGAGTAATATTTGTGGCTAATTTATCCCAAAAAAACGGAAGTCACTGAGCTCGCTAGCTTGGAGGTAAAAAAAGAAAAAAAAAAAAGTAGTGGAATGCAAATGAATATATTTCATTTAAACCGACAAGTTTCAGAGCCAGATGTGTTTCCAAAAACTTTGAGAAGCAGAAGAAGCAGAAGTTTTGACATTCGAACAGCTGCGTTATGAGGTAAGCAGACACAGGTCATCATGTGTCATCATTAGGTGACCTTGTCTTCTTGACGGCTGCCACCCTAACTTTACAGCTAATAAGTTGGCCGTGACACTAATGATGAGCAGCAGTGACGATCTACCCACCACCACCGCAGCTCCACCGCCGTCAAAGGAGGCCCCTGTCTATTTAAATGAAGTCTGTAATGACTGTAATGAGACTCAAGATTGCATGCTGGTCTTTGCTTGACTGAAACACTTTCCTTTACAAGTTGGCAGGGAAAAATAATAAATGACACAAGGAGAAGTTAATTTATTTGAACTTGCAAATCGTAATGTACCGTGTGGTGTGTGAAAGCTGAGTTTGAATCTTTGAGATCGTCACATTAAAGCAAGATGATGCAAAAAGCTCTTCTAGGATTTAATCGACTTGTAGCCAAAGAAAAAATGATTGAATATCTTCATCATGGTGATTTTCATTGTAGGTTATGTCATCACTAGTTGAGTCTTTGAAGACTTTTATAAGCCTCTAGAGCCTCAAAATTACCTCACAACATGCAACATGGTGATGCTAGAGCACAAAACTTTTTTTATTCCTGAAAAGATACAAGATGTAAAAAAAAAGTTTTCACTGGACAAATAAATCCACAGAAAATGTTATATGTGTGCACGTACAGTATATAATACAGACTTCAAACTGTCCAGATAAGGAGTTGAGAAGTTAATTTAATTATCTGTTATCTAATTTACTGCAATATCATCCTCTAGATATGAGAAATTGAATTAAAAAAAAAAACCATCATAATAAGTGACAGCGTTGCAATGTCATCCTGATAATCTCTTATCTCAACATATAACTTGAAGCCAAAATCACATCTTCCTGATTTAATTCTCCATTAGTTTATTTCAAATATTTGCACGTCTCTATTGTGAGGCCAAATCGATTAAATTTCTTTTATTGATTTTTCCCTCATGAAATTGCACTGTGATTTCTTTGTGAGCCAACTGTCTCCTCTCCGAAACGAGCTTTAATTTAAGTTGCACAGGAAAAAATCAAAAACATGTAAACAAAGGAATGGCAGAAACAGATGTTTGAGAGCGAGCCTGCGTACGCGCGGATGTGCGCACATGTGTATGACTGTGCATGCGCTCGTCCCAGCGTGTGAGTGGATTTAGTAAGTGTCTGATATCCACCTTGTGCCAGCAGTTTTGATTCACAGAACGCCGCATGGAACATGGCAGCGAGCCTTGCCATAATGTCATTGGGGAAAAATCATCCAGCTTAACTCCTTTGATCCTGCGAGAATCAAACGAGCTGAGAAAGTTCATAGAGTTTTATCCCATAACACTGAGGAGACGTCAAAACAAAGCAGAGGAAGCTCGCCAGGCTCAAACTAAATTTTGATTCGGGCAACAGCATCACTACGGACAAGACCATGGGAATGTTTTAGTAGAGGGTAATTCAGATACTTTCTTAAAATATTTTCTATCGTTCAGTTTTATTTGCTGCTCTTGAGACCCTTAATTTGATATGTGTGTGTTCATGTTAAGAGATCAGGGCTGAGGTTTCTTTTGCTATATGTTCAGACAGCTGGCAGCTAATTGCACGTCATATAACAGCAACCACACAGACAGTTAATCAACTAAACTCACAGAAACAGACATAGAACATTCACTCTTAATTATAATAAATTCATTACAGCCCTGGAATCAGATGAATTCCTCATTATTGCCCTTAAAATAAATGAATGGCACAGTTTATGAATTTTTTAGCATTTTGAGTCTGATTAGAGTTGTCTGAAAGTAAATTAACTCGATTCCACCAATACTACGAGGATCAGTGTGTTAAAGATCCCATATGCTTTAGACTCTGGTTTGTGATTGGCAAACAGAGCCACATGGTCCACATTCCAACCGCACACAGTCTGTATTCAGATGTGAACCACGTGAGCTGTAATGATTGGGCAGAAACAGCAGCATAAAACATCAGAGCGAGTGATGGGGATTTAAAGGCTAATATTAAATATTCATTCAGCTACACTGAGACTGTATCAATGATACGGAAACTAGAGGCCAGGCCTTTTTGTAATGTGAGTGATTATCCAATGAACATGCTGTATGGGACTTTTTAGGTTGGCTCTTTGCAATCAATTACTAGGGGAAGTATAAGATACAAAATAATGCGGCATGGTCCAGATGACAAATTAGTATGTCAGCAAACTGTGGGGACGATGTTGGATATGTTCAAGGCTCTTTAATCTATTTCTTTCATGGCATTTGTATTGTCTATTGTGAAATTTGTTCTTACATATATAAAACAGACCCACAAATGATTATTGTATCATCTTTCTCCCTCTTTGCGTGATCTATGGTGACATTTCACTAAATTTGCAAATGGCGAGCTTTGATTTTGGTGTTTCGCTATTCAAAACAGACAACATACTTGTGATGCTTGCATGACACAAAAATCGATCTGCAATTCTCAAGCGACAATCATTTCTGAAATGAGATCCCGATACCATTTGCAATTCTATGTCTGAGCAGTGCTTACAAATCACTTTTGTGAAACAGTCCCCTGCGTTGCATTGTGGTAAGTAAAGCATAAATAGAGTGATAGAGAGAAAAATGGATAGAGGAAGAGAAACTTACGTTGGCCTTCCTGGCAGAGGTGTAGGGAGTGGATCTGGAAAAGAAGACAAGGGGATTTTTTTTACAACAGGATAAATAATATTGCTCCCAGATTTTTCTGTGTGCGCGCTGCCAGCTACAAGCAAGAATCAGTTGAGACGAGTGTTGCTAGAAGGAGCCAGAGCTCTAGTGGGAAAAGATCACTAGAGAAAAAAAATGTTATTGTTTGTCACAAAAAGTACGTAAAATACTCGTCACAGAGCCACTTTATTGTGACATCTGCACACCAGACATCTTTAAAAGCTTTGTCTTTGCAACTTTAGATCAAATGCAACTGTCAGTAGTCTAACTCATCTTACCGAATTTGACAAAAAGCACGCCTGTTGTGGACACGGTGCCCTGGGTGTTAGTGGCCACACACTGGAAGTAGCCCGTGTCGGTGGTGTCCAGGTTGCGGATGCGGAGGCGTGACCCGTATGGCGTGGACCTATAGGAGATACGCCGCGGCTCCTGCACGACGGGGGCGTCATTCTTCAGCCAGCGCACAGTGGGCGGTGGGTTCCCAGACACACGACAGAAGAGCTCGGCGGTTTGGCCCAGAGAGGTGGTGATGTTGTTCAAGGGAGCTTCAAGACGGATAAAGAAGGGCCCTGGAAGACACGATAGAGATGAAATAAAAGAATATGAGTGACATAAATGGAGAAGAGAATAGGAAGGGGAGCAGATAAAGGGATAGAGCATGAATGAGAGGATGAAGAGAATTCGAAGAAAAAATATGAAAAATGGGCCAAGGGAGAAGAAACATCAGGAGAGAGATGATTGAGAGGGAAACAGACAACAAGAGAGGGAAGACATTGTATTACACAAGGCCAAGAACTACGACATAAATCAAACAACACTTACTGTACTACATCAGTGCCAGATATTTTCGAAAAAACACATGCTGCTGTATGAAAGAACAGTGGTGAAACAACTCAGTATTTTCAGGCACACATATTCAAAGCCTGGTTTTGCAAGTTATTTTGTGGTTGCCACTGTGGTGACACCTAATTTCACTTTTCATCATGGCCGTATGATGCCAGAGGGTTTTCCCCGGCCTGTGCATGATCTCATGAGGCAACACCACCTGTGTGTTGGGTGAAAACTTTGAAAAGGAAAAAGACCAAACAACCTTAAGGAGAAAAAATAAGGTTATCTAAACTCATTGTAATACCACAGTGTGAGGCTGCTGTGTTCAGAAGGTGTTGGAAAAGAAACAGCAAAACATTTTTGCATGATTATCTCCAGGACCACATTTTTCCTCGAGGTGGTCAGGAAAAAAACAATCTGGAGGGCCACCTAAGAGTTTAATGTGCAGGAAAAACATTAGTGTTAATGTCATGAAATACCTCTGGAAAGTTCCCTCAACCCCAAAACCCATCTTAGGTATGCAGAAATGCTCCTGGTTACACAAACTGGCCAAAACAAACAAAGAAGGAAAAGCACATAGAGGGGAATCTCAAATACTAGTCAGATGAACTTCAGTGTGTGTGAATAGAGAGGTTGAGAAGTCAAAATAGAGGCACGCACTTACATATGCAGGGAATACCACACATTTAAATCTTTACTATGCCATGTAAATTAATTAGTTAGACCATCTCTGCACTGAACAACATAACTTTTAATATTCCTGGCCAGTCAAAAGTTTGGACACACTTTTAAGTACAATACTGGTACTGTATGAGACATCTGTCTGATGAAATCACAAGACAGACCCGGAAAGATGTCAGGAATGTGGCTTTAGAGGTTGAGGGTTGTCGGACGATTAACACATCAGCACCAAAACACTTCACAGTAACCAGGTCTTGTTCCCAAACTGGGTTTTCCCTACAAGGACATTGCTGTCTTCCCCAAGCTGCTCTCTCTCTTGCTTTCTCCTAATATATCAGTTTATCCTCTGTTGTTCATTACGGTATAGTTACGTAAAAAATATTGTAAGTCAGCAGGAAAAACGTATTAATATAATTCTGGATAATCCTGACAAAAATTTTTTATTGATTCCTGGAATAGCTGGTATGAAGCCGTCTGTGCAGAGAGTGTTTGTGCCCTGAGTTAGGCCTGTCAGGTCTACTGGCCTGAGAGGAATCCCAGGATACACCATATAGTAAGTGCTGCCTTACTGGCCTGAGAAGTCAGATTTTGGGCACAGAAAGACCATTGAACATGCATCTCTCTGCAAGAAAGCTGATACGTTTGGGTCAAAGTTTTATTTAGTTTGAACTGGCGTCCTAACAGTGACTCTAAATCTGATCATTAAGTTCTCACAACTAATCCAGAGAAACTGCATTAATTCTTGCCAACACTTCAGGTTGGAGCATGCTGGTGCCCTTACTTGGTACTCTCTTGTCACCATAGCAACCCTTGTGGTTATATGTACAGCCCATCTGATGCCAGCAGTGAACATATTGTCATGAAGTGCAATGAAATGAGTGCCTACGATGTGTCTGCTAAAAAGAGAAGTGGGCACATTTGTCTTGGTTAACAGCCTGTGTGTGTGTGTGTGTGTGTGTGTGTGTGTCCATCCACCATACTCCCTAAAGCCCCAGGCTTAACATAGCAATGTGGTACTAACAAGTGTATGACAATATGAGGAGACTCTCACCATCGACCACACCACCACCACCACTCTCCCCTCACTTCTCCCCCTTCTCACCCACTTTTTATCTGTCCTCCTCTCTCTACACACACAATGGCCTCCCTTATTTGTACAGTTCTGTCTCTCCACATTTCATATGCAGTCAGGACAAAACCTCCAGCAAGTCAATGTAGAAGATCAGGTCAATATTTAAAAACTACATAAAATCATCCATCCATCTCCTCCACTTAAGATTCTCCTCCTTTACTCCTTCCTGTCTCTCGCCATCTACTTACTCCTCCACTCACTTGCCCAAGCACGTGCTACAACTGTAGACATAAAAAAACATATCTCACTTAGGTGTGTGTGTGGGGGAGAGATCCTCTTGCATTACATCATATACACACCATATATAAGCTAGGCACTTTGTTGTCGTATGACTGACCTTCTGCAAAGCCTGGAGGTCTTTCTATCCAGCCAGCAACACAGACACACACACACACACACACACACACACACACACACACACACACACACAGACACGGACACAGACACACATACTTTGATCTGTGATAATGCCCAGACACAGATCCTTGTGTTCTCTGTTTGCTTTAACAAGCCTTGTAAATGGATTATCAAGGGAAAATTTGATAATATAATGTAATGGCTGCTGTAACAGAAAGGATTGTACACAATTGATAGCCAGGTCAAACTCTGATATGATCATAAACGAAGACGCACGCTGTGACGAAAGGGGGCTGTATGAGTGCGTGACTGGATGACATTGAGAGCGGCGGTGTCTTCAGTTAATTTGTCTCACTTGTTTCTTTTCATAACTTGTTTATTCAACTGTTTTGCCACTTTTTTGTTTTGCTTTGCTTTTCAATTTAATCTGTCTGATTATGTTACTAGTTGTAATCACTTTAAATGTCATGAGACAACTGAAAGAACACCGGGATGGACTATGTTTCTTCTGTATCGAGCATTAGCTCTAGTTTAACAAACAGTAACGATACTTTTGTCTAATTTTTGCTGCGTGGTATTTTCTGAATTTGTCACATTAACTTAACTCAACCCAAACTCCTCACAAAACTGAACTTTCACATCTCTATGTATGTTCCCAGTCTAGAATCTAAAATTTTCATGAATTCTTATTGTACGCTTGATAACAAAGCTTTAGACCTCTGATTGGCTTCTCATAGAGTTTTATCTGTCTAAGAGGTGGGAGAATTTTCTCAGATCATGGGCACAGCTTAGAAAACCTCTATTTCCATTAGAATATGATCATTACACCATTGCTTTTATCTATTCCCTAATGTGTGGCTGAGTTCAGATATATTTAAAACCACGTGGCTCAATGTATTTAAGTGAATGAAATGTGAAAGGTTAATTATCTATTTTACTGCTATGATTACCATTTCTCTCAGTGTTATTTAATAAGCAACTAGTCTCAGTATAAGTGGCATTCATCAGTAGAATCATGAATATTTGTTGTCTGATTTACTGCTTACTGCTCTTCCTTTTGGAGTTACATGGTTTTAGGTCGGTTCTCGGTGTGTGTAATGTGTGACTCAGATCACGCAAACTCTGATAGGAATAATGTTGCAACACTCACAGTCAGTACTCACACTGAAACATCCGCACTCATCATACCCATGCTGGTACCAATCACAGAGTTGTTGTACCACACACTAAGGTCATTCCTACTGGCTGACACATTTATCTATTGAAAGAGTACATGACAGTAAGTCCAAGCTTACTTCTGTGTGTAGGTGTGTGTTTTAATTATGATTTGTCCCCCAACTATCAACACAAAGTCATTGCCTACACACTGTCATGAGTGTAGCGGACTGAATCCTTCTTACATGCTGACCAAACACTTCACTGCCTTAATGTGCCTGTTGAGTCTGACTATATCTTCTAAAATCAAAAGAGTACTTCATACTGTATATTACCTCATAAACTGAATATTAAACAGACCTGCTCTTAAAAGACACGTGTGTTTTGCCAAAGGCAAGAAGGTCACACAAACTGAGTCACTTTATCACCATCTCATTAGTTGAGTTGATGGAAAAGAAAATGGTTTTTGGGGTTGTGTGCCTGCACACTTCATTAGCTGTTATAATAAGTCAGAATAAAGCAGCAGATTGGGAAAGAAGAGACAAGAGGAGATGATGAGAAGTGAAGAGGGGAAAGAGAGCAATGAGTGATTTAACTGCAAAGATGTCCTGCCAATGTCTGTGTAACAAAGCCACTCTGTACGTAATTGTCTCGCGGTGAGTGTTGTGGTATTTGGCACCAGGAGCACTGTGAAACTCAAGCCCTCGCTGCGGACTGTCCCTTTAATGTGGCAGGCGACTAAACGGTGCCCTGTCATCAGCCTGCATTTTCTCGCAGAGGTTTTGTACAATCAAACACTCACACGCAAGCATCCAAACGTAAACACACGCACACCCACACGACCGCAACACACACAAATTATCCATGCTCAAAACGAGCCACGTTACACTACACCTTCTCATTTCACCAGCAACGCTGTATTCTATATGTGAATGTATGTCTATATTCAATAACATACACGGCAGTAAAGCTGTGCTAGGCAGGCCGTTCTCAGCAAGACACGGGCTCAGAAACCTGAGTGGCTGCACAGCTAACTAAACATACTCAGCAGATACACTGAGGAGCTGGGACTGTAGCACTGCCAGCTATGGTTAAAGGTGAATTTCATTAAAGTTGGGTCACTCTCCAACAGAGAGAGAGAAAGAGGAAAGGAAGTAAGAGAAGAAAAAAACTGTACAGAATGAAACAGTGAAAAAGAAAGGGAGAATGAAGGAAAGCCAGAGGGAAAATGAGTTCAGTAAACTATCATCACCCCTGATTTTAGCCCAATAATGAGCCTCTTTCAGCATGATAACTTCCTGCTACTGATGCATACTGATAGAGCCACGCTACCTGAATGCTGTCTGCTTGGTCAATCAAAACCATTCCCTGCCTGCAGACAAAACAAGTGGTGCAATCACCATCCATCCATCAGATAAGAAACAGATGTTCGTCATGGGGCTGAGCTCAAAATGACACACACACACACACACACACACAGACACACACACAGATACACTACTTTGAACACATGGTTTGCGTGCATGCACACATGCACAGCCTTTGTAGATTTTCATATTTCATGATGTTGTGGAAAAATAAAGCTGTCTCTATGATTTGTTTGGAAGTACTCCTCATTGTATTTATGACTTTTTAAACATTCTTGATTGGTCACCATAACTATTATCTTGACTTAACTGCTCAATCATGCCCAGAAACTACTGTCCTCATTCTTGCCCGTGTGTTTAACAATGCTTTTGTGTACACAGAATTTCTTGTAGGATGGATGTTGTGGGAGAGCTGGCTTTGCAAGAGATGAATTAAGAAAACCAGGCAAAATGAGAGAGCAAAAATAAAGGTCAATATCAATTAAGTCTTATGCTGAAGATCTTCCAAGTCAGGGTGTCTTCGTGGGGGATTAGGCGGATGTTGGCTCTCCAAACCCAGGGGAAACTGAGGAGAGGGGGGCAAGATTTGACTGATAACTCCGGGCAACGGTGTTGAGAAAATATCCAGAAAATTATGAGTATCTGACTCAGATGTTCCTGCGGTGCTGACTGAAGACCAGCCGTTTTAAATGCCTCCACTGTCAGGATCGGCTGATCTAAACCTGTGCAGCTCCAGAAGACGTGACCATCCTCACCACAAAATAAATAATTTTAATAAACTGGAAAGAATCCTTATTAATCAAGGAAGGGAAGGAATAAGTCTATGCTTGAGAACCAAGCAGCATTGAGACATTTTCATCTCCATATTGCATCCCACACGTATTTTTTTTTTTGGGGGGGGGGGGGGGGGGTAGACCAGGTGGAATGCATGTGACTTGTAGAGAGGTTTATTTTACAGGCCTGTCAAATGTAGAGATCATTGCTAGAACTTCAGGAGATCTTGAGCATATCAGTCCAGTGCAGTATCATCTGCAAGTCATCAGGTCTCAGCATGTACAAAAAACAAACTCGCTGAGACAGATTATTTATGCGTCTGCAAGATGCAAGAAACAGAAACAAACACAACAATGATTCCATCCAATGATTCTTAATATCAACACTAGTAACCCCATCGAGTGTCGTCGTGTATAATTATGTTGAAAATCAAAGCGGTCAAGGGAGATACTCTGGTGTTGCTTGGTTCCAGACCTGTGATATTTGTTCAACAATTCAAAAGGGTCTGGTGCCGTGTACAATGGGAATTTTGTATGTGGAACTAAGCTTTAAATGTGGGGATGTCATCTTCATACATAGCGAGCTACCGAGCTTCAGTAAATCCCTAAAAACAGAGAAAAGTAGCCACAAAAAGGACAAGCGTGGATGTCATGGAATCACTGATAGATGTACTAAAAGCAGCAGCAGCACATTCATTTTGAAGCTCCGCTGGTAGCTTTCTCTTAAGAGAGGACTAAAAGTAGGTCAGTGGAAATGAGTGAAATGCGGTGCACCTGTGGCTGTATTCCCACATGCTGAGTAGATCAACGTGTAATTTGTTCCATCAATTATCCTCCATAGTGGCCTACGCTGGGACAATGGGTGTTGTCTGGGTGGCTGAAGGTGACCATTCACAGAGGATGTGCACGTTTTAACACATCACTGAATGTGTTCAACAGTTTTGATGGGAGGAGGGGCTGTCGAGGTGTGGGCGTGTGTGTTGAAACTGAACCCTGCTTTTTGTGAGTGTGTGTTTATGTGTGTGCATTTACCATCACTAGAGGTGTTCCATGAAGTGGTAGCTAGCACACTGGGGTCTTGGGGAAACTCAGACCCTGTAAAAAAAAACAAAAAAACAAAAGGAAATGAAGACAACTATTAGCATGTTTCTGACTGTCGGGCCCTAAAGAAATAGCAGGGCGGACTTGTCACTAGTTCAGCAAGTCATTTCACTTGATGGATTGAGAACCCTACAATTCACAAACAAGTGTTTTGGTATATTTTTGTGTCGGTTGAAAGCATGGAGTAAAGGGTCACAGTAAATGTGGAAGAGCATTAAAAAAAAAAAAAAAAAACGTCAAACAAATCAAGCTGTGAGCTTTATCCCTGTCCTCGTGGTGGACGGGTGAATGAACCTCAAAAAATATGCTGGTGCTGTCTTCTGCTGCTCAAAGAAACAAAAGTCACCAGGTGGCGTGAAGTGGGGAAGTTTAGAAAGGTTCAACTTTATGCAAATGTCATCTGATGTGCACGAGCAACAACCCATGTCATTGCCTCGTGAAACAGAAGTACAGCTGTTTTTGACTCCGCTCAACTGCATTAAAGTGATTTAGACTAAATGAAGGAAACTTTCACAGTCAATGGCTTCTGTATGCTCTATATGACTTGAACAAGACTTGAATGAGACAAACAATGCGTGGCAAAATCCCTTGGGACATGTGGCAACAGGAAAAAATAACCCAATGCCCAATCAGAGCTGAGTATTTAAATTAACGTACGGGCTCAATGCTAAACACATCTGTAAGCTTCATCTGTGTGTGTGTGTGTGTGTGTGTGTGTGTGAACAGGAGATCACTTCAAACAAACACAGACACAGTCCCAACCAGACCTTTTGGGCCAATGGGACGCCCCTAGTCAAGTGACAAGATAAACATTTGAATAGTGGCTAATTCTGCTTTAATCATATCATTTAATAAATCAACAGAGTGGTGCAGAGCAGACACTTTTCTAGGTAAAAGACTGCAAACAGAAACAAACACACATTTCTTTTGAGTTGAGTTTCTCATCTTAAATGTTAAACAACACTGATGATAGCATTGTACATTTTGTAGTGTAGATCAAAGGTTTGAATGTACAACAATGAGCCTATCAGCGAGCCATGTGGACCTAATGCTGCGTTATTACGAGCTGACGACAGAACAGCCCTCTGCTTTTCATTACGGCACAGAGGAGACAGAAAATGAGCTTCAGTGTGCACGGCCACAGGTCATAAGGTGATTCCTGACAAATGAAAAAGCCTGTGCACGACTTAAAAACATGCAGGACCGACAAGGATGGAGCCTGAAAAGGTTTTTATCTTTGCAGATTCTCAGGGCACCAGACAAATGACGAATGCTCAACGCACAGACTTTATCCCACGGTTACAATCAGCTACAACACACCAGTGAGTTCTGCCTTTTAAGCTAACCCACTGGGGCTGAGTGTGTGTGTGTGTGTGTGTGTGTTTTGGGGCAGGCAGGGATAGTTTAACATGATGAATGAGTACATGGCTGCTTGCCAACTAAGGACTTGCACCCTACAGTCACAAGCACATGCAAAAACACAAGCATGTGCAACGAAACAACTGTGCGCGCACGAATGCATCTGCAAACCTGACCTGCTCTCAAATATGTTTGTATGTATAAGCTGAAAAACAATTCAATAAGCGTTGAAAACAGTTTGCACTCTTGAATTAACAACTTGAAAACATTCTCGTTATGTGTGTGGCGTGCAGGGTGACAGTTGTGGGCGTGCGAGGAGAGAAAGTCTGCAGTCAAACGGGACCAGCCGTCTGACACAGGGTCATGCTAATTGGGTGATAATGTGTTGTTTCACACGTGCTGTGTCAGGACGGTAAAGACTATGTGGTGGTGCTTGTGAAATGAGCTGTGTTAATGAGCAGCGCTTTGGGCCTCTGCACCTGTTAGTGAGGGAGTCTGGAGGCTTAGCAACAGGCTCATAACATGAGGCTGGCAGCTAAGAGTTATGGTCAAGATATGTAGCGACCGGCAAGAGGGGCATGATACACCATAAAGATAGTTGTGTATTCATTATGTTATCTCTTTACTAACCTGGTATTGCATTCACACAATGACATAATCTCTCCTGGCCATGTTTTTATCCTCTTATATCTCTTCACTTATTTCACAGGCTCACGAGTTGTGCTACAGTACGGGATCCAAAATGACTTGCAAGTTTGTTGCTGAGGGCTTCTAACATGACAGTGAATTATAGCGAGGGCTGGCCCCAGGGCGAGTCTAAATTTTCTCTTCGTTCTGGGTTGACAGACTTTAAGATGCACAGGGCTCTGTGAAAAGAAAAGACAGAGGAGAGGGGGGAATGCAGCTCACTAGCTCCACTAACACAAAGCTAGCCAAGCGCAGCCAGGTGAGAGTTCAATGGAGGGGGCTGGACATACGAGCGGAGGACAAGGGGGATAAGGAGGGAAGACTGAGAGTTGTACCATGCCAAAGTTTATAAAATCGACATGGGGGAGGCACAGCCGCATCCTGTAGTATTTTCAGGAACATTTTTGGATCTTCTTAGGAAATACGTTTTTTTCAGGAAAAACAATAGCATGTGACTTCATTGACATTTTCCAGATAAGACAGTTGTCCAAATAGACACTTAACTCTCAATTTCTCTTCCATTTTATTTCTCCTCTATTTAGGTCACATCTGTTACTTGTCTTTCATTGAGACAATCATCTGGAATATGTGGGGATGAACTGCTGAGTAATTTTGAGATTATCTTTCTAATGTTTCTCAGCAATGGAGGGAAGCAATTGTATTACACCCATTTGTTAGTAAGGGGCTAAAAATAGGCACCTTCATGGTGCCTGTGTCAGTTTAGATCAGCCGTTCTTGCAGTTGCGGTTTGCGGGCCCTGATTGGATCATGATCCTGATTCTGATGGTTCCTCATATGTTAACTGGATCTGTGTATTATAAAGATCCTCGTCTGACAGTATGAGTCAGTAAAAGGGATCGAAGGCCCTGGTTTTGATGATTGTAGAATAAAGGAAGAAACTCTTACAGTGATTTCCTAAGGTTCTAGGTGGTATAGACACTCATACTTGTACAAAGTGTCTGACAGAAGCTCTGACTTCGCACTGAGCATACGGTTAACATCTGTTCTCCAGTCAACAGTCAGCACTTGTTTCTTTTAACCATGACCAAAACCTTGCAGTTTTAGTTCCCTGCACTTCACTAAAAGCTTAACTATTGAGGTGGAGGATCAGGAAATAGTCTTATGAATTGTTCTTGTAACGGTCATATGCGTTATTTCAAATGGGCAAACCACACTCCCTTGTTGTTTAGTATGAGCTATGTTTATGCAGATTGGGACACCAGATCAGGAAATGCTCACACCCATCTTTTGGAGGGGCATTGACAGTACAAGTACATGGAGAACATATATGCACGCCTGCACAAATACAGATGCACATATGCATTAATCATAGAGAAATTTAGCTATATTAATTTAATTCAGGTATGCACTTTCATTGAACATTCAAAGCTATTTTATCATGACAACTGCACATTTTAAATGATTTCAAATAGCAACTTTACCATGGTTCCTTAATAGCAGGTAGGATAACAGCTTTAATCTGGAAGGTCTCAACAGCCTAAGATATACTACCACTTTAATTCATCTAAAACACTGAGAGCCAATAACATGTACACAGATCCAACAGCCAATCTCAGTTCATTCTTTTACTTGTATATTAATTGCTGTCAATAACATATACAACCATCAAGCTCATTTATTGGTCGAAGAGTGTTTTCGTGCTGTCTCTTCAGCTAAGAGCCAAGCTACCCTTCAGCTTGTTGTCTATCATTTCACATCGCTTCCATTTTTACAGCCACAAATCAGCGTCCGAGAACTATTGGTGCACTGATATCATCTTTGCCTGTTGGTTTTTATTAGAATAACGATTACTGTTAAAAACCCTAATGTTACAGTAATTTCCCTTTAGGTACCTTCAAAGAAAACCAATATAACCTGGATCATGAAGCCGGGCACATATTTCCATAGCACGTCAGGAGTGATATGTTAACTTCAGGCCACTTCGGTATGGCAGTGAACACGCATCACAAAACTGGATGTCTGCCGACCTTTATTATAGTATCACTTTCCCCTCTTGGCTGATACGGCACATTTCATGCAGCTGAAAGTTTTGGAACCTCTTCTTTCATTTGCAACTGGGTGCCACTCAATTGCCATCCTCATGGCAAAATAAAATATACAGTGAAAGGTTGACATGAAGGATCCTTTGAGAGGTCCAGACAGCAAATCTCCACACAGAAAGTTCCATGAGAGCAGCCTCTGATCCCCATCCAGCTGTATTTGGCTTATGATGATAAAAATCACGCAGGGACATGAGCTTAACCCCTATAAAGCTCTGAGAATTTGGTGTGACTTTACTGTGACAGCAGCATATGGGAATTAGTGCAGAACTTCAAACCCAAAGGCATGGGAATGAGGGAAAGGAATGAGGCAAAGAAAAGTGAAGGAGAAAGTGACAAAGGGGGAGCCTCAGTGGGCAAAGCAGAATCAAATCAGAAATGTTCAATCTGAGCGGTTATGCATAGCAACTAATATGCTGTTATATGGTCTGGGGCACTGTGTTTGGAGCCAGGGTGTTTGGTGTGGTGAGTGAGCCTGATGTATGAGCTCTCCCGCTCTGTTATTAGGGCCTCTCCCAAGGTTCGCTTCCACCCCTATTAGCTGGAAAACTGATCTAACTCAGAGGTTATCTGGAAGAACAGCAAACCCACTACTTTCATAATGCAACTGTGTCATATTTTCTGACTTAAAGAGGTGAGGGATAGATATGCACAAATGAAGAAAATTCAGGAATGATAATCATTTCCTTCTCAAATTTGTCTTAATCGGATCTCCCTTTCCGTCCAAATTTCGTTTTCTTTTCTACTGTGCGCTCGCTGCCTATAGTTTTTTTTTTTACTTTAAACTTAGATGCCACTGTATAAAAAATGCTCTCATTTCCGCAACAAACCACTGTCTCATCCCACTTTCCCATTGCATGCTCACTTAAAGTAATTACAACTTTTATGTGAACATGTTCTCCCTTCATATACCCAAACGTTCAGTTACCAACAACGAGAAGAGTGAATCAGGCAGCTAATGTTCGGCTGTTGCGTGCACCCAGACCCAGACTAAGTACCATATAGGGCTCGAGCTGCCTTAATGACTTATTAGCACAATTAGGTTCAAGACTGGAAAACGAGCGGAAAGTTATAGTCTTGGCGAAAGGACAGGGATCTGAGAGAATGAAGATTTTTCAGGCCAAGAGGAAGAGAAAAAGAAGAGTGGCGGAGAGCAAGGGAGAGAAGAAAAGTCGGGGAGGACTGTAAAGGAGAGCCGAGGAATTGGAGATAAAAAGAAGGGAAGAAGACTTGGAAAATGTGAGACTGCAGAAAAAACCAGCAAGAGAGAAAATGAATAAAGAGAAACGTCACAATAAACCCAGAGTAAAGGCACTCATAAAAATCTGCTTTTTAGGAAGTGGGCTTCTGTCCCACAGAGCAGAGTGCAGATTTGTGTTGGCTGGAGATTTTATTCACTGTCATTGTGTCAAATGTGAAAAACTGTTTGACTGGTCATACATGGGCCTCACAGAGTCAGAGAAGTGGCGGCCAGTGGGAAGGACGAGACGGAAATTAGCTTAAAGATGGAAAACGAGACGGCAGATGGTGATTTTATTTGCTCAAATTGAGGGGTTTGGTTTTATAACAACTTGGCTCTCATTTTTGTCGTTTTGGCCATTATTTCTATTGGTTATGGTGACACTGTACTCACCAAAGTACCTGCTGGGATATGTGGGGAACACAGCAACATCACTACACCACATCCCTTCTCGATGATGATTTCACAAACACGTGAAGTAGTTTAAAAACTGGAGTTTTCAATAATAACTTCATTTTGTTTTCTAGTTCAACAAAATCTGGGAATGGTCTGAATTCTTGTGTGTATTGCCCATTCTGACTTCTTTACTACTAATTGTGATGTGTTCCCAATTTGGTTTGTACAATGTTTTTATTACAAGTATAAATGATTCCTCAACTACAACTAACTGTAATAAACCCAAGTTGAAATAACCTGAAATTAGCCTTAAAGAGAGACGAGACGAGGAGACAGTAGGGATAGAAAAGGGATAATAATGTGTATGTGTGTGTGTGTCTGATTGTATAGCTGCACCTGTGTGTGTGCGTGCAGGTGTTAGTTCCCAGGCTCAATTGGAGCGTATAGAGGAATAAAAGCGTTCACCTGAGGACATCATGGACCAAAGAACACAGGATTCATCAAGCCACACACACACACACACACACACACACACACACACACACACACACACACACACACACACACACACACACACACACACACACACACACACACACACACACACAAATTTCTGCAAGTTCTGCTCTGTAACCTTATAAGACCACAGAAGGGGGCGAGGAAGAGAGAGGCAGGAGGGCTGATGGGGAGAGGGGTGGGGGGGGTTAGCAGGGTAGATGACAGGAGGAAGAATAGAGAACAATACACAACAAGAGAAAGAAAGGGCTCAAGTTGCAACAGACATTTGCTCTAACATGAAAAAAAAACTGTTTAAAAAAAGTAAAAACTGTTGCTTCCCCTCCAAAAATCACACAGAGCTGAACAGGGAGGATGTTTTATGCAACTTTTACTACATGCTCTGGAACGCTGCATTGCATGTGAAATTATAGTTTGGCTTGACCTCAAATTCTTGTAAAATTTTGGAGCAAACTCTGGCCCTTTC